TTGGATCAGATAATTTTATACGTTTATTTGTTTGTATATCATCATTTGATGTATATGGTTCAACAATTAATGAACGTCCATTAAGAAAATGTCTTGATTCTTTTAATGCACGTTCATAACTTATTCGATCATCAAATGTTATTGTTGCAAAACCTTGTAATGAATTTGCTAAACACATTCGTACATGACCATAATGTGAAAAATATCGTATAAGATTTTTTTCTTCTAATTGTTCAGATGTACCACGTATTGTTAAACGATTATTACTATTTGAATTTGTTGTTGTTGTTGTTGTTGTTTTTACTGTTGAATGTTGATTATAAGAAGAATTTCTATTGAATGTTGTTTTCCATGTTGCATTAACAAAATTAGTTGAATTAATACGATGTGGTGAAGCATGAATAAATTCTTCAGCATTATGTTTATCTGCAAATGTTACTATACATTGATTAGATTTTATATAACAATTAAGTATTCGACCATAAGTTTGACAAAAATTTTCAACTGTATCAACATTTGTACGACTATCAAGACCAGTAATAACGACAGTCGACATAAATTTTATCTAAAATAATAACTGTCTTTTTTTTTTAATTTATTTATTTATTCATTTTCTTAAGAATAATACGATTATTACTAGAAGAAATAATCATTTTAAGAAACTCAAAGATCACGCATATATATATATACATACATATGTATATATATTTATATGCATGATCGATATAATCAGAATGTCCTAGAAAAGAGAAAATTGGCATGAAGATAACAAGGACATAACAATCGCAATCGATGCTAGATGGTAACATTTATCATAGACCTATAAAAATAATGGATCTAACGATGAGAAGAAAGAAGATAATTGTGACTTTCAGAAAACATCTGAAATAATAGATCTATAATCTGAAGGATGATCAATGCCATTGAAGTTTCATAAAAGACTAGTAACTCTACTCCATTTCTAGTGAAATATTTCGAACTACGACGTCACTATAGCAAACAACGTTGATGATTAAGGTATAAACCATGTGATGATGTACGAATGCTAATGGAAATGAAAAGATATTCATATTTCTTTCATTACAGAGTTTGGTTTTAAACGCTTCAAAAAAATATCATTGATCTTTTTTCATACTTAAATCTATTTTAATTATTGAATCTAATAAAGTTTACTTTTCTAAGAAAACAAAAACAAATTGAAATCTAATAAAAATTTTATTAAAAAAACAAAATATCATTTCAATATAGATAAAAAAACATAATTGTATCAAAAGAATATAGAATACAGAGTAAAAATTTGACTTTAGATTTATACAAAAAATATTCTTCTATTTACATGATTTTTATGAAAGAGAAAAAAAAATCGTATTTCATATCATATTGTTGTAATGATTGATATTGTAAACATTTGGTTAATTCATATATAAAGAAAATTTTCCAATACTATATAATATCTTATAATGATTAATATATGTTCGTATTTTATTAATAAATTGTTAGAAACAATTTGTATTGTATAACAAGTTTACAATTTAAGACAATTACAGTATATGACGTATTAGAATAGCAACATGTTCCTCTCTCAGACATTAGCATTAAGTATGAGTTCATCCTCTTACAGAATCTTTTTTTTTATTGTTCTTTTCGGCAAGTCTCAAACTACTTATTCATCAATGATTATTTATGCATACCAAGATGATTCAATGTTGCAAATCATCGCTTGTGATTCATATTATCTATACTCATTTTATAATATGTTTTAATTATTTTCTTTCTTTCATGAAGTTACTTGTAATCAACACTATGTTCCTTGAGGCGTTTTCCATATATCGAGAGATTAAATAAACCGAAAATAATTAACACATAATGAATTGACGATCAATAATGTACATCTTCATAGTTATTTATAATAATGTGTTCTATTATATCCATCTGTTGTAAACATTTTTGTCCATATGAATAAAATATTATTTACTTATATAAGTTATCTAACTGTTTAGAAAGTCAAAAAGCAGAAATGTTTATCATGATAGAAAATATTTCTATATTATAAACTGAAGTAGAAATATCATAATCTTACTTTTTATAATTTTGTCATTGAAAATAATTTATCCAATATGATCAATTTTTTTTTTGATAAATTTACTATTTAATTAATAGATTGTTTTTTTTTCTCTATCAATTGATATGAAACAAATAAATTGAACATCATCATCTGAATGCTTAGTAAATATGATTTTTTTTTTCATTGAATTTCATAGATCCACGAAAAATTAAATCTATTCTGTTTCATTTATATGTTTACATGTTCTACGAATATTTTAATCGTTTTGAGAACATTTATCTGACTCATGCACTTCCAAAAAGGAACTATAAGATAATAGTAGATTTAGAGAGATGATCGATTCTCTTCTACAAGACTTTTTTCAAGCAAAATGAACTGATCGAGACTTTAATACAGCATAAATTTAATATTTTGTGGATTTTTCAATGATATTTCTCTCTTACTTTTAGATTTTCTATTTGTATCATATCATTAGATGTAAATCTAGAAGAAAATAAAATATTCTATAACAAAAAGAAAAAAAAACATATCATACATAAAATCATATTTGTTCATTAACAGATATTTGATTTTAATATCATATCAAATCCATTCTAAAATATAAATAAAACATAATAAATCAAATTTAAATGATATAAAACTATATTAAAATAAAATATTCACTTAGTCTTCTTTTTATCTGTCTGTTCTTATATAAACTAAATATACTTACCTAGAAATATAGATTTTTCTTTTTCTTTTTTTTATACCAAATTGCTTACTCAGTATATATATATATACGTGTATATATATAACAATAACCCATTAACAGATGTTTGATGTATATTGTGTATACTGCTGATTCGCCTGTGCGCTTTGATATAGTTCTATGTAGATGCTAGACTATCTAATAGCTCCAACCACATTTATATCATGAGGCAACGATGAAATTTTCGGCTAATAGAAAAAGAAAATATACATAACGGATTAGAAACAAAAGACATATGAAAAATACCTTAGACATTGGAACTAAAGTTCCAGTAAGAATACGGATGTTTTTTTTTTATACCGATACCAATAGTTCTGAATTCGTACTCATTAAAATAGTCATAAATATATACATAACTTTGAAAAATTAGATGTATTTTCAACCACTATTTTTCTTGTATAAATTGTTCATGCCACTCTATTCGATAGAAACCATCGAATCCAATCCTTCTAAGACTCGATTTCCAATTAAATTAATTAAATTTCGATTTAGATTATAAATCAAAACAAAACCAAAAAAAAAAAAATAAACAAAAATCACGAATTTTTGCTCGATATATTTCGAAAATCTATTAAAATTCTTGTAATTAATTGAACTTATCTTTCTCTAATATTGTTTATACAATTCTAAAAGTTAAACTTTTCTATAATACTAATTTTTGCTTTTTTTGTGTGTTTACTGAGATCAACTATGATATCTTATTATTCTATACTTACATCTTAGATAAGAATATATTCAATTCATGTGTATATTTATAAAAAAAAAAGCAGACAGGTAAAATAAAAACGACATAATGGACTTACACAACTGATGTGAAACATGAAAAAGTAATAGAATCAAGAAAAAAATGTCCATAACCAAACCAAGACTATATTTCATTCTTGAATTGGATATTATCTTAATTCTAATTTTATATATATATATCGTCTGATTAAATGAAAAAAAAAAAAAAACCAAAAAAAATCTTCTAATTTTTTTTAATGTTGTTCTCATCTTGATTTTAATTAATGATTATGAAAGAAAACAAATGAATGATTATGTGATGGCTACATAACATAAAAATATGGAAAAAAAAATGCTTTTACTCTTTGTTAATCACACACACACGCACACAAAGATATATATATTATATATAATCTCAATATGGATGTCATTTATTTGAGTTCTATTTAAACACATACCACACTTATATTTTTGTTTATTTTATTGACCACGACCTCGACCACGACTATTAAAATTTGATACACCACCACCACCTCGACTACTACCACGTTTTGAATAGGGTCCTGAACGATTACCAAAACTTGATGAATTATTATTTCCAGATGGACCACCTCCTCGACTATATTTAAAAAAAAACATATAAATAGTTAATACACGATTATAACTTTCATAAGTCATTTAAAATATAAAAATTTTATTTTATTATGAAATCTAACAATCTTTAAATTATTTCATGAGTTAAAGTTGATCTTAAACTTGAATTCAGTATCAACTCATAGAGATCTAGTCTCAAGATATGAATTCGTAGTTTTTATCCTTTGATTTTTATGAGTGTAGATATTGAATTTTTTTTTGAAAAATATATAATATATAATACTTACCCTCGTTTACCACGCATAGGACCACTTCCACGTGATGATTGTTGTGATGGCATATTATTATAATAATTCATTCCATTATCATTATAATTTTGTGAAGTATTATCATATAAATTTGTATTATCAAATGGATTTGACATAGATGAATTAGTATTATAACCACTAGTATTAGTTTGTTGTGATGGTAAAGAAAATGGATTATTCATATTATTAAAACTATTTGGATTTGTATCATAACCTTGTTGTTGTTGTTGTTGATTTGTTCCATAAGATGATGGCATAAAATTTGGATTATCATTATTATTATTATAAGGCATATTTGTATTTGTATTATATGAATTATAATTCATCATTGATGATTGTGGTAATTGATCTTGTCCTATTGAATTATATGATGAAGGATAAATACCTGTATTTGATGGTATTGTTTGATTAAAATTTGATTCATTTGAATTATATCCTTGTTGACCATATGATGATGATGATGATTGATTATTCCAATCATTTTCATTATTATTTCGTATTGATTCAAAATTATTACGTTGATTATAATTTCTATTATTATTAATTCCAGTTGAATTTGCTATTTCTTGCATTTTTTCTTTAGGTACAGCTTTTTTAACATCTAAAGTTCGACCATTAATTAAATGTGGTTTTTCAAGAATAACTTTATCAACAGCATCATAATCATCAAATGAAACAAAAGCAAAACCACGAGGTTTACCTATTATAATTATTTGTTGTTTTTATATTAAAATTAATTTTTTTATTAGTTTCAACTTACCATCACGATCATTCATAACAAGAATTTCAGTAATATTTCCAAAACGAGAAAAATATTCTCGAAGACATGCTTCATCAATACCATCACGTAAACCAGCAACAAATAATTTTTTTACTGTTAAATGTGATTCAGCACTATTTTGATCTTCACGTGGCACTAGAAATAATTCATAAAAATTTCAACATTAGATTTTTTTTTTGTGAATTCAAAAGTTTATCTTTCTAAAACTATTAAATCCGAAATTTTTTATTGTCAAGATATATTTATATCATACTTGAAATTAGTATCAAAAACTAATACTCGGACAATCATAGGATGAAACTTTAATAAAGTATAGGCTGTAGGAGATCAGATAAGTGTCATGACAACGAAAACTACTAAAAATATGTTTTTCCTAATTGGAAAATCATTATGCAAAGAAAACTATCTTCTTATCCATTTTGTAAATAATTAAAAGATTTTGAAAAATGTCAATAGATATACTAGGAAATATTGACAGTTCTAAGCTGATATTTTTTTTTTATTCATTAGAATATCTTACTAGCTCGTTTTGAATCTATTTGACGATTATCAATTGTATGTGGTCTAGAACGCATAAAATCTTCGACAGATGATACATCTAAAATATTTAATTTGTTTGTTTTTTTTCTTGTTTTTTTTTAATTTAAATTTTACCTGCATAAGTAACAAAACCAAAACCTCTTGATTTTCCATCAGAAGTTCTCATAACAACACAATCAGTCATTGTACCAAAACGAGAACAAAATGTACGTAATGTTTCATCAGTAGTACTATCAAAATAAAGAAATATAAAAATTTCATTTTTATTTTTCATGATAAATAAAAAAATATGTAATTCATACTTATAACTTAAACCACCGAGGAAAATTTTCTTATTTTGATCTGATGATGATGATGAATTCATATTAGTTGTACCACTATATGTTTGATTAACCATATTTAACAAAAATCGTCAAAAAAAAAAAGAAGTGTAATGAAATAATAATAATAATAAAAACTGACATAATATATGTGTAGCCATTATTAAATATAAACCTCTAAGAAAATATTTATTGAATAGATGTCATTTTCAATCGGTTGTTTATATATTTATCTTTCTCCTATTCGATTATTCTATGTCACTTGGATAATAAATATTGTTGTTGTTTTAGAAATTAATAAATAAAGTTTTGATTTGATAGAATTGTCTTTAATTGAATTTTTTTTGTTAAAGATTTGTTTATTGTTTGTTTCTTTTTGCAAAAATTTCATGGCATCGACGACAGCTAGCTTAGAAGAAAAATTTAATGCCGCTGTCAAAGCTATTCAACGATTACCAATTGATGGTAAATTTACAAAAAAGAAATAATAAACTAATTTCAATTTTGTTATTTTTTTTTTTTAGGTACTTTTCAACCATCAAATGAAATGAAATTAACTTTCTATGGTCTTTATAAACAAGCAACAATAGGTCCATGTAAAGAATCACGACCATCTGTATTTAATTATATTAATCGAGCAAAATGGTAAATCATAAAATATTAGAATTCATTTTTTTTTGTTTTATATATTTAAATTATTTATTAATTAAGGGATGCATGGGATAAATGTCGATCAATGAGTAAAGAAGCAGCTATGACAGCTTATATTGATGAAATACGAAAAGTAATTTTTGAGAAAAAAATAAAAATAAATATTTGTTTTATTATTAATTTTAGATACTTGAAACAATGCCACAAACAAATGAAGTATTAGAATTTACTCAATTAATTGGACCATTCTATGAATTTGTTGATGATCAAACAGAAGAAAATCAATCAAATTTATTAATTAAGAAAAAATCACATCATACAAATATTAAGAAAAAAAAACAAAATACAATTGAATCTTTTGTCAATGGAACCGGTGAAAGTAAAAATAAAATTGAAATAAAGAAAAAGAATGAAAATTTTATTATAGATAATCATGATGAACATTCAATGAATCATACTAATGGTCCTATTCAAACAATAGTTTCATCTGGAAATGGTCCAATACCATCTTCATCACCATCTTCATCTTCATCATCAATATCTTCTTCAGGTAAACTTCATTTATCTTTAATATTTTATCTAACGAATGACATAGAAATATTTTTAGATAAGATATTCGTTCTGTTATGAGTGAACAAATTGTTTTGTTTACTCTATAAGTTCATTTTCGAACATACACATCCCTTTCTACAATCTATACCAACAATAGACTGATCAATTATTAGACTATTTCAGTTGTTGATAGTAATATTTAACATAATCAGCTTTCATTTGATATCTTCTATTAGATAATAAGACATACTAGCGGTATAACCAAAGTTTTGGCGATGGTAGGGCTCAGCAACGCTTAAATATCCAGTGGTAGGGCTCAGGTTACTGAGGTCTGTGGGGCGGTAGGGCTTGTGAAAGGATTCAGCTGACGATGCTAACACCGGTGGTAGGGCTGAGCCCCCTCCGGCCCTACCTTGGTTACGCCACTAACCGGTACTAGCTATGGATGTACCGAGAATCTCGGTCTCGGTCTCGAGTACAATTAACTTCTTATTCGTTCTTTATCCTAGATAAGCATTATATTCATTCTTGGTCGAAATTATTATTTTTTCAGTTTTTTTGACCGAGACTACCCGTATCGAGAGTCTCGGTACATCCTTAGTACTAACTATAAAGAGTTTCATTCAATGTAAAATAATTGTCGAAATATAAAAATCTTATCTAAAAACATATTAAATATTCATTTTAAAACTATTATATAGATGCTGAAGAATTTTATGATGATCCACCTGATCGACTTTCTGTTAATCCTGGTGTATCAAATGATGAAATGATATCAAAAGATAATATTCAAGTAAATATATATATTAACAATTATCAAAATAGAAATAAATTATTTTTAGACAAATGAACCTTCATCAATATCAAACATTCCAACTGAACAATTGTCAAATAATACAACAAAATATCATCCACATGTATATGGTGGTCAAGATGGTTCAAATGTTCCTGTACATCGTTCCAATAGAGGAAGTAAGAAAAATTTTTCGCTTTTTATAAATTATTTATTTGATAATATAATAAGGTAATCATTCAAATGAATTTCGTCAATCATCAACACATTCATCATATCGTCATCATGATCCATCTGATGGTGCTCGTTATTCATTTTCATCTGTAGCATCTGGTGGTGGTGGTAATGGACGACATCCAAATACTAATTATAATAAAGAAACACAACGTGCGATATTAGCAGCACTTACAAAACTTCAACGTGATGTTAATAATATATTAGAACGACTTAATCGATTAGAAACATCATCACATTTTCTTCAACAGGTTAGAAAATATTAATTAAATTTTTCTTCATTTACATATGTTTTATTAGTTAAAGATATTAAGTGAAAAATTTCGCTCTTTTAATTATCTCAATAGGGTTAACTTATATACTTTGATCTGTAGGTTATTTAATAACATAAAATTCTTATTTTTTCTTATTAGTATTAGTCTTTTGTTTTTTTCACTGTTTAACTAAATTTTGCTTTTATTTGTTTGAAATTCGAAAATAGTCATTCTTGTTTAACATCGAATGTTTTTTGTTCTTCACTTATAACATCGATTTAGCGTTAGCATAAGTGTTTCAAGTTGTTGACCTGGTTTTAATTAAATATTAACTTTTCTAGTAGGAAATGTAAGATGATACGAAATAATTTGTAAACGTATTTCGTCAATTTTTATTGTTGCATATTCTATTAGTTTAACATGGTGGAATAAATAATTAAAATTGATAAACTTGTCTCTCCTCCGCGTAAAAGAAGACTTTGAATCTTCTGATATGTTCTAGTTCAAAAAATTTGCAGAGAATCTTGTATTATGTCCGATGAACTTTTTCTTCACGGGGATCTGCTAATATAGGGAGGGTGAAGGAACAGTTACAACAAATTAATGCTAAGTTGTAAACTAAACAAATCGTAAAAATCAGAAATATTAGTTCATCTTAGAGCTATCAGTCTGGTTTGACCAAAAAAAAAGTAGCCTGTTGGTAGCTCTGATGTATAATTTGTTTTTTTTCATCATCTAATATATATATATGGAGTTATTTTTATTTTTAGAGAGAATTATCTACACAATTACATCGTTCATCTAAATCAAATGTAGGTTAAATTTTTTTTTTTTGTAATAATTTTATATAATATCTTATAGTCTTTATCACGATGGTTACCATTATCTGGTTTACGTCGTCGAGCTATTGCCTTTATTTTACTTTGGCCTTTTTTTGTCTTTGCATTGATTCGACTTTTTCTTCGTGCACGAATAATAATACGGTAAACATAAGTTTATTATGTCATATTTACTTTTGTTTTTTTTATAGTTTTCGGCAACCACATCTTTAATTGAATTCTGTAATTTTTAAAGTCGAACGTGATTTCTTTTTTTTTTGTAAATACTTTTTCTTTAAAGAAAAAAATATTGTGCAATGCAATTTCTTCAAGCTTTTTTTGTGTGTATAATTTATATCAAATGAATTTTTTAGAGAAAAAAAAAAAATTTCTATTATGGCATCATTAACAAGTGGTAGTGATACTGAACATTTAGGTATACCAAAAGCTGTATTTGTTGAAGATGTTGATAGTTTTATGCAACAACCAGAAAATGATTCAGCTGATACAGTTATTCGAAGGTAAGCAAAAGAAGAAAACAAAAAAAAGTTGAACTTTTATTTAATTTTTTTTGTTTTTGAAAGACTTGATGATTTAAATAGTAAATATCGTTTTATGGAAATGAATTTATTACAAAAGAAAAAACGTTTACGAGGAAAATTACCTGATATTCAAATTTGTTTAGGTAATATCATAATTATTTTTAAATCTATGAAAATATTTTACTAAAATAATATTATAGACATGGTTGAACAACTTCGTAAATATCGTGAAAACGATACTAATATGGAAACAAACTTTTTACTAGCACATAATCTTTATGGTAAAGCAACAATACCACCAACAGATAAGGTTAGAGATGAAAAGATTAATTTATTAGAAGATAAAAAAAAAATTATTTATTGGATAGGTTTGTTTATGGTTAGGTGCTAATGTTATGCTTGAATATACATTGGATGAAGCAGAAGAATTATTACGTGGAAATCAAAAAACAGCACATACAACACTTGAAAAAGTTGATGAAGATCTTGATTTTTTAAGGTATAAAATTTATTTTGTTTCTTTTTCGATTTAAAAAAAAAATCATTTTTATTTTGAAAAACATCATAGAGATCAAATAACAACAACTGAAGTAAATATGGCTCGTTTACATAATTGGGCTGTTAAACAAAGACAACAAAATAAGAAATAATATGAACATTTGATTATCTAGTTTTTACAACATTTGCCGTGTCCTTGTTATTGTTAACTTCTTTCATTCTTTTTTTCTTTTTTTATTATATATTAATGCATTTCACATCGATGTTAATCGAATGTTTGAAGAGACATAAGAAGAATTTTGATAAAATTATTAAATAGGTTTATGTTAACTATATTATCTTTTAAATTATTGTCTATGTGATCTTAAAGTTTAATATTACAATTGAAATTAGAATATTGTCAAACAGATTCTATTTGAAGTGTTTACGTATTTTTCTGTCATTAGGAAGTTGAAATCAGTCTTAAAATAGTCCTTTTCTTTTTAATTAGATTTCGCTCTGAAAATTAGAGTATTTTCTAATCACTTAAAGACAACTAAATCAAAGTTAGCAACAATTTGTTCAAATCACAGTTTTTTTACTCTTTCCGAATACATGTTCAAAGAATTATTTCAAAATAGTGCTTATATAGAATATTGTTTTGATCAATTTTATATTTCGATAGCACTGAAACAGAGGAAATCTCTTCAAGTATTAAATCAGTTTTTAATCAAGATGATGTTCATTTGATGAGTAATGAAAAAGTTTAGAATGGTTTAATTTTTGAGATATTAATATTTTACTGGATTTTTCAACAACCAATTTTGGTCCATTGAAAAATCGATTATCGAGTTTCAACTTTGAACTTTGTACTAACGAAGTTCGTCCTAGCTACGCAATATGCTGATTTTTGCTAAGAATTGTATTCGCGCAAAATTTCGAGTCGAAACTCAAAATTTGATTTATCACATGGCGACATCATTTTATTGAAAAAACCTAGGAAACTTTCGATATATCAAGAATGAAGACTCGGAAAACCAAACCATGCTAGAGTTTTCTATTAGTGCGTAGCACTCATTAAATAAAAAAAATTGTCTTAGTCGAAAAGCGGTCTGACACTTGGCGACCTTCTCTCAAAGATGAAACCGGTACCGGTCTAAATTTTTCACTTTCCTGCTCTTTGATGGTATTCACATGAAACAACAACTGAAACCAAGACTAGTTCCACTGATCACGCACGAATTTATTTAACAAATAGTTTTCAGAATGCCCATTAATGAGACTATTGTTATCAACAGTGAAGCATTATGCCATTATGCGTGAAGGTAGCCCATAAGAGAGTTCACCATGAAACAAGGTTTCATTTCAAGCCTCAGCCGATTGTCTGTAGACCGATATTTTGACGATAGGTCGAATTTTCTCTGATAAACTGATGTATCATCAGCATCCTGTTTAGTGCCGGTAGATCGATCAGATCAGCTTTTAGGTCGGTAAACCGGTCTACCGGCCGATCCGAGAAAAACTAGACCGGTTTCATCTCTGGCTTCTCTTGTCAATAATGCAAAGTAAAATTTGCTTTATTAATCATGTGGTTTACTTTTATATTTTTTAAAGTATTTGATGAAACAGCGATTTTTTTTTTAGTGAAGCCGGTTTCTATAGAAACTAGTTCGTTAGTGAAAACACATACGTGAGATTTCGCTTATTATAAAATGTTATTTTGTACAGAATTCAGTGCTCTAAAATAATGGAGAGTTCAAGCTATTCTAAGACGCAAACTAAGGACTGTGCTATTTCGTATACAGGATTTACTGCCGTAAACAATCTTTATTTAGGCGCGCTTTGTTCATATGCAAATTTTAAAAAGACTATAATTAAATTAGAACTATCTCATTAAAATTATATTCATTCATCAATTTTAAAAATAATTACCTCAAATATTTATTTGTACAACTGTTTTTCTTTTCTGTTTGTTCCCTCCTCCCCACCCCATGCTCTGTTTAATTGAATAAACTAATCACAAACCACAATTATGTGAAATATTTGTTGAATTTTTTTTTTGCAGTTTTAATCTGGAAATTTTTGTAGTGAAAACAGTTGATATCGTTATCTTTATACAATATTATACTCTTTTTAACAAATCGATTTTTATATTTGAGTACTGTACTATTTCTTAGCATTAGCCAACCCGAAAACAAATGTAATAAATCTGGTCTCCTATCGACGGGTTTGTGTTTTATTTTTTGGTTGAATAAAATGTAATAGTATAAGATATAAATAGAAAAAAAAACTGTCATGATTTTGTTTTTTTGTTAATCTTTAATACAGAAATTTATTAACAATGTTTCTATTAGATATAGAATAATATTTTTTTATTTTAAAAATGACATCAACTAATAATGTCACATATAGAAACAAAAAGAATCCAATGTTGAATTTATATGTATTGTAACAAAAATGCGAAAGTTATCCTCGATAGTGTTATGTTCACATAGCACATTCTTTTGAGGAAATTTTTACTAAAATAGAATAAAACAAAACCATAAATAACGTTTCAATTGTGTATCACATATTGAAGCATTCCTAATATCATATTTAATTATATAAACAATATTCGACAATGATACTCATGCATTTAAGAAAAAAAATGCGACATAAAAAAAAGTATATATACAATTGATTCATCAATGTTCAATAATTTCCCTTCTATCCTAAAAAACAAATATTTCATCAATTTTAAATTTGTTTTATTTTGAACATTATTTTAGTCAAAATGAATCTATAAACTGTTTAAATTAATATCATCAATTATATTTAAATGTCATAAATAAAATTACTCCAGAATTTTCGTTTTGAAAAAAATACGATTTTTATAAAAATGATTTAAAGTAATAATAAAATACTAGAATCATTATTTTAAATCCAGCACTTTTAAATCAAATCGAATTAATTATTTCATATTCTCTAAACAATGATTACTTGATACTTTTTTAAGTCGAAATGAAAAAACATGTTGAGTCAATAACAAAAAAAAAATTTTTGTTGGGCTTAATAATTCTGTTTTTTTTTTATACTATATTTAATTCATTTGAATTTATTTTTCTCATAAAATAGAATATCCTTTAAAAACTTAGTTTCTAGCAAAGTATTTATGTAAAACAATATAAATATTTAAACGTCTTATAATATTTTTATTTGAAATTGATATTGAATAACTAATCAATTATTTATTCATAATAAATACATTATGGACTCTGTTCAAAATTTGATCAAATGTCTTTTTTCGTATGAAATTATAACTTATCGTATAGCTAACTGAAATAATCAATTATTGAAGGAAAACAATAATTCACTAACAAATAATAAATTCGTATATCTTTTTTTTTTACAATCTCGGTACTTGTCTAGTTTAATCACAGCTTTCACTGATTGGTATGATTTTACACACACACAGCATTGCGTGAGGGCAATGTTCCCAATGGAAATCGAAAACAAAATGTACGTGTACACTTTGTTAAATATAAGAAACAAAAGACAACGTTTTTAATGATGAGTATAAATTTTGGTAAATAGACGAATGAAGAACAAGCGCACTTTCCCAGAATCTGACGGTCCATTTATAAAGAAAAAAAGCTATGAGTTTATACCACAAATATAGCAATTATAATTTAGGAGTGTAAATCAAAAATAGCAGCTGTTCTATACATTTTGCTTATGCTGTGTACACCTGCTGTTGGAAACACTGCGTGAGGATGAGGGCGCTGTGATTAATGTGATTAAATTGGGCAAGTACTATAATCTATAATATCATAAAACACATTCTTCTCACATCCCTTTTTTTCCTGCCCACTGTTTTTTCTCTGTTTTTTTGACTCATTTCTCTAATATATATTTATTTATCATTATTATTCCTTATGTGCACATGCTTTTTATTACGAACATTATGACTTTAGAAAGAAAAAAATGTGTTTAATTATTATTCTAGATGATTGAATCCTATTATTCATAATAAGAAAGAAAGGAAGAAAAATCTTCAATCGTTACCGATATCAGAAGAAATCCGTTACGACTTTCTAGAAAAATCGCATAATGAACTCTCAATCATTTTCATTACAATCTTCAGCTCTTTTTCTATGAAAAAATATCCTTAGAGTTTTATTCCGAACACCTGGTCTTGTTCATCCCAATCTCTGGACACTATATTATTCATAGTAATGAGCATGCCATTCCGAATTCCCAACCACTCTTCCAATCACTTTGTCTTTTTCAATATGATGTCCCGTCCAAAAAGGGTTACGAAGTCCCGTCATCCACAATGAGCAGTACAGGGTGATCCCAAAGCCTTGCTCGTTCTCCCTTATTACAAATCTAAAAACGCTCAAAATTGAAGGTTTAATCCCTTGTAACTAGACGAATATCACTCTAAATTTTCAGCTCTCTAGTGCTTATTATAGGAGACATATATAGGTTCGTATGATAGAGAAGGTACTTTTCAATCTCCCGAAAAAAGTCAAAAAAGTTTATTAAAAAGAGATGTCTAAAATAATTAATTTTCACTATTAATACAACAATAAATAACAAAATACTTGGGTGTGGATTTTGTCGTCAATTATTCTAACACAACCATGCCCACACATATCCATAGCCACACCCAGATTAGCAACAATCAAGAAATAGAATAATGAATGATAATAATGCAGTGTAGTTTTTATTTTACGAATAGAAGTTTTCGATCTGTTCTTCTTTCTAGTTATATCAAAATATAAAAATCAGAAAAATTCAATTTTAATCGATAATAATAACTAATCCATAAACATATACACGTATCAATGGATATTATTTTGATTAAAATATAAATCTATGCCTTTTACCATACATTCAAGGATATAATTCTTCAATAACAATAATAGTAAGTTTTTAAGACAGAAAACTTAAATAATAGTGATATCATAATAAGGCTCACACTTGCAAATGACATGTTTGAACTGATGATCGTAGTTTACTAGAAAACAGGTTGAAAATGCTTATCTATTAAATCTCAAACGATATTACATTAGTATCATTGATGGAGACATAAAATGAGTCCTTTACATCAAAAGCAAGTCAATCATTTTTTATATCATCTTTCAGAATGATTTTCATTCATTTATTTTTCTTTAATCAAATAAATATCCTTCAATGCAGCTTAACAACGTCTTACTGTCTGCTTCTTACATTAAAGATATAATATCTATATATAGTTAGCCTTCAATATAAAGAACATTAAATATGATTTGTCCCTGTTAATCTCTATTTGGAGAAGAAAGAGATGTGTTTCTTCGATTTGCCATTTCTGATTTGTTAATCATACCGTGAAATATCGAGATATAAATATATACATCAACATACATCTTCTGAATAATCGAGAATATTACGTACGCCTTTTCCATTTCTGTTATTGTAGAAATGCTGATAGTATTTAAGTGATGTTGTATCAGAGAATAGTCTTTAGTAATAAGAGAAAGAGAAATCGCAATAACTAGTTATTCGAGATAATTCCACAACTTCTTTACAAGCAACTTCGTACAATCAAGTTAACAAACATATAATGAGTTCGACACAACAAAGTAAATTTTCTAGTAACAATTGTTTTTTTTTGTATATGACTGATAGTTATTGTTAATAGATGCCAAAGAAACATTAGCAGCAGCTATCGCCGAAGCTCATATAGCTCATCGTGAAACACCAGATGATGATCCAATGAAGAAAGCTGATAGAGAAAATGAAGGTTGGCTTTCAGGTGATCAATTTACCATTACTGAAACTCCTATTGCACATCTCAATGCAACACCAGGAACCAAAGAATAAAACATTGTGTGATCGATTGAATAACTATTAATTTTCAATATAAACGAGTGTTTTTATTTGTGTGTACCTTGAAATATTTTCTACATGAAATGAATCTTATCTATGAATCTACTTTGATATTTGTTTTCTTGAATAAAAATTTTTTCATATTTTATTCATAATTTATCAAAATATGTCAGATGTCATTCAACTTCACATCATGTCTATGAGAGAAGAAAAAAGATTAGAAGAACTTAAACCCACGACCGACTGTTGATCAGCTCTGGGTATTGCAATGAAATTTTTATTAAAATAGATGTATTTCTGAAAGATCAAAAACAGAAAATTTTGCCTAAATTTTATCTACAAGCTAATTGCGAATTACTGTATCCTCTTATGGTAAACTTCTTGTTTTTTTTGTGAAAATTGAATATCTCCAAAAAAAGACACGTCTGGTTTGTTTGAAACTTTTAGAATTATCTAATGACTACGAAATTAGCTTGTCGATAAAAAATTTTCTAGTTTTAGTCTTTCAAAAATGCATCTATTTTAATGAAAAATTCGTTTCAAAAGTCAGAGCTGATCAGCATTCAGTCGTGGATCTAAGTTCTATTAACCTTTTCTCGATCTCATAGACATGTACTCAGACACAAAATTTGAAGTTAAATGACATCTGACAGTTAAATATGTTTCCTTGTCAACAAGCTATCAACTTTACTCATATCACTTGAGAACATGGAATATAAAATGATAGAGTCAATAATTGGTCAAAAAGTGATTGAGTTGAATATAAAATAAATATCTGAATGTTTACATTTTTTGTTTTTTTTTTTTTATCTTTTTATCCACTACAGAAAGAATCAATTTTAATAATACATATCTTATTGACTTATCAATAAAATGTGCAAAAATTTTTATTCAAGAAAACAAATATCAAAGTAGATTCATAGATAAGATTCATTTCATGTAGAAAATATTTTAAGGTACACACAAGTAAAAACACTCGTTTATATTGAAAATTAATAGTTATTCAATTGATCATACAAAGTTTTATTCTTTGGTTCCTGGTGTTGCATTGAGATGTGCAATAGGAGTTTCAGCAATTGTAAATTGATCACCTGAAAGCCAACCTTCATTTTCTCTATCAGCTTTCTTGATTGGATCATCATCTGGTGTCTCACGATGAGCTATATGAGCTTCGGCGATAGCTGCTGCTAATGTTTCTTTGGCATCTATTAACAATAACTATCAGTCATATACAAAAAAAAAAAACAATTGTTGCTAGAAAATTTACGTTGTTGTGTCGAACTCATTATATGTTTGTTAACTTGATTGTACGAAGTTGCTTGTAAAGAAGTTGTGGAATTATCTCGAATAACTAGTTATTGCGATTTCTCTTTCTCTTATTACTAAAGACTATTCTCTGAGACAACATCACTTAAATACTATCGGCATTTCCACAATAATAGAAATGGAAAAGGCGCACGTAATACCCTCGATTATTCAGAAGATGTATGTTGATGTATATATTTATATCTCGATATTTCACGGTATGATTAACAAATCAGAAATGGTAAATCAAAGAAACACATTTCTTTCTTCTTCAGACAGAGATCAACAGGAACAAATCATATTTTGTCTTCATTAACAGTAAGGGGAGGAGTACCCGCCCATAATATATCCTTGAGTTTTGTCAGTTATGAAACTTAATGGGTAGAAGTACCTATACACCACGTAATTTTATGCGTCAATTACAAAACAATTGGAAAATAGCTAAATTTTTCAATAAGCACTTGGTTTTCTTTACAATATTGAAACAAATCCTTTTATTATCAACAATACATATAGAGAATTAGTTATTCTAGGCATATTTTTTTGAAGGAAATTTTTTGAATTTCTGAGACGTAGAAAAAACCTTTTCTATAATACGAACCTATATGTCTTCCCTATAATAAGGACTTGAGAGCTAAAAACATAGGATAATATTCATCTAGTTACAAGGGGTTAGGTCTCCAATTTGAAATATTTTCAGATTTGTAATAAAGAAGAATGACGGAAGACTTGTGAATCACTCTATAACTAAGTATTGTATTCATTAATACTCTTGAGATACTTAGAAAGCATGACTATTCCTTGTATAAAGAAAAAGCTTTGCTTTCAAAGAGACTTAACCACCTTATAGTAGACAATTTTGAAAAGTTCACTGTAAAGAGGTTATACTCTACACTGAGATAATTGAAATCAACAAGTTGATATTTTACAACAAAGGTAAGAAAATAATATTATCCGAATGAATATACATCTTGATTTTTAAAAAATAAAATTTATTTTATTCAATAAAACTACATATCTATACAATATTTAATACATTTGAGGTGATGAGAGATCCATCGATCGGTCTCATTATACTTTAACAAGAAACTTAATAGAAAAACACTTGCTTTTCCTTTTTTTTACTTAAGCAAAAAGTTACATAGATTGTGTTATTGGTTCTACCTTTGCTATTATTTAAATCATCTTTTACATAACGTGATGCTTCTCGCTAAAACAATTAAGACACAAAAAAAAGAAACAAACATTTATTACAATTCTTCAGATGATGTGCACAGATTTTTCCTTCTCTTTGAACTTGTAATCAGCGAGATTGCGATTCAAATGCATAAAACTGCAGAATAATCATGTCGCTTGTGAAATAGTTTTCCTTGTAAACCAAATATCAATTAAAATTCCACTTTTTGATACTATTTTAAACATCATCTACTGTGTTTCTGTTCGTTATAATCAAGCATCACTCAGTGAATTATCGATGTTTCCTGTATCGGTTTCTCTACAAACTATGCATGTAAATCATCACAAAATTTCAGTTGTTTTTATACATACGAAAAGTAAAGAGCTAAAGATAATGCAATGAAAAGGACGCGAAAGAAAAAAAACACAAACTTAAATAATTATTCAGTTTAACATGAAAGAGAACCGCACATATAGTGATAAAAACAAGAAAACAGAAAAATAACCTGACAGTACATACTAAAAAAAATCCAATAATTATATTTATCGAGAGGTTATTGCATAAGAAAACGAATTTATTAAAATTATTTTCAAAGAGAATCGAATCATTTCGAATGTGTTGAAAAAAAAAAACTTATTTTTCTTACACTACGATATGAATATACTTTTACGTCAAAAAAAAACCCAACATTCACTTCCACTCCATATTTTTATTAATTATAGTCAAATGATTGTGAAAGATACTCATACCTCGCAATCATTAATTAAGATGCATATTATTTTGTTATTGCAAAAGGAAACAAACGTGTAGTACATCTAATATATTGAGTCATTGATATATACCTTGATTGATATTCTTCATGAGAAAAAAAAATCATTGATGTAATGAGCCGTGACTTTATATAAGCAAAAAAAAACTTTTTTTTTTGAGTATAACATTTTGTTCTTATTACTATTCTTGTTGTTGTATTACAATATTTTTTTTTCTATCATACTATATCAAAGGGTCATACAATCAAGTTCACCTATTATTATTTCATACACATTATGCATAGAATAAAAAACAAGATAGTTAATATTGCTCATTGTAAGAAGAACAATGAAATGTGTCTTTATTCAAATTCTGCTCATGCTATAGCATCTGCTTGTGCAACAATGGTACCTTCATATAATAGTATAATATCATCTGGACAAAATACTTCATGTATAATTCAAAATTATTTAATAGTCTGGTTGGATGCTAATATTGATATAGTGAATAATGATAATTATCGTAGTATAATCACAATTTTACAACAAATTGTTAATTCTGTAAATATATTTACGACAATCAATGAATGTATAGATTTTATTCAAAATATCAAAAATGAAACAATATTTTTAATTATATCGGGATTGTTTGGTCAAACTGTAATATCTATTATTCATGAAATACCACAAATTAATTCTATTTATATATTTTGTGAAAATAAATTAGATCATGAACTATGGATATATAAATGGTGGAAAATTAGAAATGTTTTTATGGAAACTTCATTTCTTTGTCAAGCACTTAAACAAGCTGCTGAAGAATATGATCGAAATACTATTTCGATAAGTTTTATTGAAATGTGTGATAAAAATTTTGATCAAAATCTAGAGGAACAACATCAATCCTTTATGTTTATTCAAATCTTAAAGGATATCATATCAACAATAAAATTTAAACAACAAGATTTTAAAGAATTTATTACTTATTATCGTAAAAAAGTTGAAGGTAATGTTATTGAACTAAAAAATATTGATAAATTTGAACGAGAATATTATGATAACGTACCAATCTGGTGGTATACTTATCCATGTTTTCTTTATTCTATGCTTAATCATGCATTACGTACTATGGATGTAGTTACAATTATTAAAATGAGTTTTTTTATAGGTGATCTTCATCATTATATTACTCAACTTCATTCTGAACAAAAGTTTATTCGTCATGATTTAACTTCATTTAATGTATATCGTGGTCAAGGAATATCTCAAAAAGATTTTAATCAATTAAAAATAAAACAAAAACAATTATTATCTTTCAATAATTTTTTATTTACTAGTAAAAAACGTGATGTTGCTTTAAATTTTGCACGTCAAACTATAGCAAATTCAAACTTGATTGGAATCTTATTTGTTATCACAATAGATCCTTCTATAGATTCAATTCCTTATGTCAACATTCGTGATATTAGTTCTTATCCAATGGAAGAAGATTTTCTCTTTTCTATGAATTCTTTATTTCGTATTGATCAACTTAAACAAATCGATAATAGTAATACTCATCTTTGGCAAGTAGAATTAACATTAGTTAATAACAATGATCCACAAATTCATATGTTGATTGAACATTCTCTAGATGTAACAATTCCTTATAACATAGGTTGGTATCGATTAAGTGAATTATTAATAAAAGAAGGTCAATATGATAAAGCTCAACAAATGTATGATATCATCATTACTAAAATATCTGATGATATTGAGAAAGGATTTCTATATTATCAACTTGGTTTGATTAAATTTCATCATGGTGAATACATAGAAGCAAATTCATATTATCATTTATCACTTGAAATTCTTCAAAAAATTCTTTCTTCTGAACATATTGATGTGGCCGCATGTAACAATGAAATTGGTCTAGTCTATGAAAAGATGGGCGAATATTTAAAAGCATTATCATATCTCAAAATAGCACTTGAAATCTATGAGAAAAATTTATCAATAAATGATCCATTGTTAGCAATTTTTAACAAGAATATTGCTAGAGTATATTTCCTGAATGATGATTATTCAAAATCACTTTTACATTATGAAAAAACAATTGAAATTTATGAAAATAATTTTTCTTCAAATCATTCTGATATAGCTACTTCCTACAAAAACATAGCTTCAGTGTTAGAAAAGATGGGTGATTATACAAAAGCAATATCATATGCAGAAAAAGTACTTGAAATTTACAAAAAAAATTATTCTTCAACTCATCCTGATATAGCTGAAACATATAACAATATTGGTTTACTATATGAAAAGCTATGCGAACCTTCGATAGCACTTGCATATTATGAAAAAGCACTTGAAATTTATGAACAAACTCTATCTTCAGATCATCCTGATTTAGCTACATGTCATAAAAACATTGGATCAGTATATTTTCAAAGAGGTAATTATATGACAGCACTTTCATCTTATGAAAAAGCACATGAAATCTATAGAAAAAATATTTCAACCAATCATCTTCAATTAGCTACTTCTTACACTTGTCATGGTATTACGTATGAGAAAATGGGTGATTACACAAAAGCACTTTTATATTACGAAAAAGCATTGGAAATCTATCGAAACATAAATCCTTTAAATCATCTCAATTTAGCTACTGCTTATAATAATATGGGCTCTGTATGTTTTCAGATGCATGATTATTCCGCAGCACTTTCATATTACAAAGAAGCACTTGAAATCTATCAAGAAAATCTTCCTCGAAATCATCCCGATTTAGTTGTTTCTTACATTAATATTGGTGATATCTATGATCAAATGGGTGATCTTTCAAAAGCACATTCATTTTATAAATCTGCTCGTGAAATGGAAGAAAATTTGTTTCCTGTAAATCATCATTGTCTTAAACAATGCAAAGAAAAAATTGAAAAACTAAACAAAAAATTACGAATAACATTCAAAAATTAAAACATATAGGGCGTATTTTTTTCTTGTAACAATTTATTATTAAATATATCGATATATATAATGATCAGATAAATATTGTTTTCTATGAATAAAGATTATCTAATATGACTAAAAATTAAAATAAGACATTAGATATTGTCGAAATCTTTGGTAAAGTTATAAAATAAGGAAAGAAATAGAAGTGAATCCTTTTGATGGTTAATTCTGAAATATCCAAGAAGATGAATGTCTGAACGAAATGTTGTTTATTGTACAATAATACTCCATAAATAGAGATGAACATGATGGAAATGTCCATGATGATGAACAAGACAGGACCGAGTAACCAAGTTGAATAGTCAAATAAAGAATAAAAAGAGTTTACTTTTGTTTTATAGCATTGTAAACAAGAATAATATTATCAGATCTATTTTATGGTGAAATGAAGAACAAATATTTAATAGATATGAGCTTCTACATGAGATCGACCGTGTCTTCTACTTTGCGGTCATTTTTCCTTAATTGGAGGAAAAAAATGTCCGCAAAGTAGAATCGGGGGGGAGAGACACAAATGACCGCACGTTGGAAAATGTCCGCAAAGCGGAATCGATAGATAGAGAGACAAAAATGACCGCATTATGGAAACAAGCGAAAACATATATTTAGGGTGATCAGTGTAGGTAGCTCGATTAAAGAATGAATATCACGTCCTTCGAGCTAGTCTAGTTTTGAATGTCACGTGCCGTCGAGGCCATTTTTCAACGCTTTTGTGAACGAATGTATTTAAAGTAATCGAAATCAAGTTAGATAAATCAAATGAAAAAAATGTCCATCGTAAACAATGAGGGTGTGGGTGTGGAGTGTGGGGTGTGGACGTGGGGTGTGGAGTGTGGGGTGTGGAGTGTGGGGTGCGGACGTGGGGTGTGGGTGTGGGAGTGGTGTGGATGTGTATAAACAAAGACCCCCACCCCACACCCATACCCCACCCTCATCCACGTCCACACCCATACAGCACCCACACCGACGTCCACACTCACGTCCACACCCATACCCCACCCACACCCACCTACACCGACGTCCACCCACACCCTGCGGTCTTTTTATTATCGATATATCAACGTATTCGATACAACTGGCAAGGATGATCTTGATTATGAACCTCCACAAGATTAGATATTTTACTGTCTTTCATCAATCAATTTTTCTGTATTTTTTTTCACATAATAAATTTTGTCTTCATTCTGTAATGCGGTCATTTCTGTCTCTCTCTGTTGATTCCACTTTGCGGACATTTTCTCTTAATTGGTTGAAAAAAATGTCCGCAAAATGGATGTAGCCAGATCGACATTGAAACAAATGTTCTAGATCATGTCGTTCATCACACGTCATTCGAGTGGAAAGATTTTCAATTAAAAAGTGATTCATAATAATTGGTCGCACAAAATTTTTGTTTATTTTGAAAACAAAAGTTTTTACTTTGTAGAGATTAAGCTATGCAATATGAAAGGCGATCATTTATTATGCATCACCCATTACAATATTACACTCAGTTCTGATTCAAAAATTTGTCTAATTCTATTACGTAGTTATTGTGATTACTGTTTTATGGCTAATAAAGAATTCTTTTGCTTATTCATTTTCTTTCCTTCAGTTACTTTGTATAGTGTTCCTATTGATGAATATTCATGACTACTGTCATCATTAACATAACAAACTAAAAGATTTTCACTGATGTCAAATCATATGAAAAATGCACAACTATATTAACCAGATGTCCATCGCTGTTGAAAACTGACCGCTGCCACGCCGCGACAATAAAAGAAAAAAGCTAACGCGACGCTACCGCACCGCGGTGATAAAAACAGAAAACCTACCGCGCCGCTGCCGCGATGATTGTTATCATAATGTTGAGAATTTTACGATCTGTGACTGTTCAGGACTTGAGCTGTTGTTACCAATCGATAAGATTCGTTGAATCTCATAGTTTTGCACTTGCAAACATTGAAATTCTGTTCGAATTCATGCATTTTTGCATTGTTCTCCAAAAAAAACCTACCGCTACCGCGATAGTTAGTTAAAAAACGACTGCTACCGCGCCGCCACCGCCACAGCGGCAGCGGTCGCGCCGCGATGGACATCTCTACCACATACGAAGAGAGTGAACAAGCTTTTATCAGTGTATTCCTCCCTATATGGTACGGAGATATACGATTGTAATACTAAACTATGTATATCATTGTATTCGCATACGACACTATGTCTATTTGATCTAGATAGATTTATGGTAGACACTTTTTTCTTTGGTCTTCAGTTCGATAGATGTCGCATATATACCAGTTTGTTGCCATACAAAATTAGAGAAAATTAAATGAATCTCTCTTCACAACTACGAATTTTTACTATCCTAATAATCATTTTCTATTGAATTCTAATATAAAAGTCTCATCGTACAAAACAACCTATCAGAATATTATTCTTTTTGAAGATATGTTCTTTGTATGTTTTATCAGTGGCGGTTTAGGAAAAGAGCGCTGATAACATACATGTTTCTTTCTTTTACAAAATTATTTTTATTATATTTACTCATTCATTTCTATAACAAATTCTTTTAATTTTAGATTTAATTTTTATCTTAATTATTCATTTATTATTCAAAAATCTTCAATGTTTGCAGCATTTCGACGTCGTGCTGCATCAACATCACGTTCAGAATCGAATGTTAAAGAAAATTCTCTTATTGATACTAATGAACGTAAACCACATATTGAAAATAATAATTCTACTGGTTTTATTACACCAACAGCACCAACAAATGGTACTAATACATTAACTATTAATAGTAATGGAATGAAACATCGTACATTATCTGGTCTTTCAATGACATCATCATCTTCATCATTTAGTACATCACCAACACTTAATATAACTCGACAACAAGAAAAACAAGAATTACAAACACTTAATGATCGTCTAGCAGTTATTATTGATACAGTTCGACGACTTGAACAAGATAATGAAAAATTAAGAGTAAATTAATTAGTTTTCCAAATTAAAACAAAGTAATATATTTTATTCTTTTTGTTAGAATATTGTTAAAACAAATGCACAATCATTCGAATTAGAAACATCAAAAGTTAAAACATTATATGAAAATGAATTAGGTATATTTATTTTATTGAAAAAAGTAAAAAAGCAAAAGGCTAATTCAATATCCTTTTTTTTTTTTCGTTGTCTGATTTTAGATGATGCAAAAAAATTAATTGAAGAATTAGCTCATGAAAAATCACGTTTAGAAATTGAACTTGAAAAAAGTCGTAGTGAAAATTTAGATATACTTGCCAAGTATAAAAAAAAAATGAAATAAAATGAAAAATTTTCCTATCATTCTTTCTTTTAAGAGCTGCTCGTAATGATCGTGATGCACGTATATATGAAACACGCTTTAAACAATCTGAAACTGAAATATCTGAATTAAAAGCACGTTATGATGCAATTACATTGGATGCATCACGTAAAATTGAAGAAAATGAGGTTTTTTTTTTGAAAAAACGATTAAAAAAAAATACAATTATTTTTTTTTTGTTTTAGACACTTCACAATATTAATCATGATCTTGAAAAACAAGTATCAGCATTAAAACGTCAACTTGAATCAGAAACTTTATTACGTATTGATCTTGAAAATAAAAATAAAACTTTACGTGAAGAATTACAATTTAATCAACATGTTTATGAAACAGTAAGATTCATATTTATTATGAAATGTATTTAATTAAAACATATTTTTAGAAAATCTATCAAATAAAAGAACAACAACGTGTTGAAACTCTTCATGATGATAGTTTACGTCAACAATATGATGCTAAACTTTTACAAGAATTACAACAAATAAGAACACAAAATGACCAAGAAATGCAATTATTAAAAGAAGAAATTGCTGCACAATATGAAAAAAAGGTAATAAGGAAAATGATCAAAACATTTCAAACTGATGCTTCTAATTATATACATCTGTTTTCTATCAAAAATTTGTAAATGCAAAAAAAAAAAATCACTTATTAACCTATCAAAGATAAAACAATCAAGACTATTTGTCCGAGTTCAAAAACAGTAGGCTCAACAAAAAAAAATATTGTTTATTTAGATTGAAGATTTACAAAATACAAATCGTCGTAATCAAGAACAAATAAATAATTATCGTATTGATCTTATATCATATCGTGAACGTATTGAAGAAATAACAAAAATTCGTGATCTATGTAATGAAAAAATGTTACAATTAGAACAACGTTGTCGTGATTTAGAAGATCGTACATATCGTACACAACAACAACAACATGAATCAATAATTGAACGTGATGATGAAATACAAAATCTTAAACAAATAATTGAACAAATGCAAAATGATTATCAAAATTTAGTTGATACGAAAATTGGACTTGATCGTGAAATAGCAACATATAGAAAATTACTTGATTCAGAAGAAGAACGATTAAATATTGTTGCTCGATTAGGACCTTCACCAACAATTAATGGGAATGCAACACCAACAAATAATGATGATATAACAACAACAACAATAATCAATGGTCCAATACAACGACAACGTCTTAAACGTCCACGTTTTGAAGTTGATGAAGATATGATTGTTGTTAATGGTACAAATGGACATTAGACACAACAATAGAATTGAACATCGATTTTTTTCTTTTGCCCGGTTCTCAAACTTTTTTTTTTTGATATTTCGAATGAAACGAAAATAGTAGAGGTAAATGAGAAGAAGAAGAAAGTAGCTTCTACTCGTATTTTATTGATAAAGTTTTTGTGTACGATTATGAATTTGGTTCTTGTGCGTCAGATCCTTCTTTTTTTCTTTTTTGTCTTGTCTTTAAAAGTATTAGATATTCATATATAAGTTCGAATAAAGTAAAGAGTAAAAATAGTTTTCTTATTTTTTTTTTTGTGTTCAATTAAAATAACTCAGAAAGATAAGTCTTATGTATTTGTTTAAAGTAATATGTAATACTTATTGGATTCAACTACAATGTTTTAGAACATTTTGTTTGTAAAGAAAATAAGCTATATTTTTCTTCTTAATTCAAGAAGATAATATTGAATTGAATTTTCAACAATGAAAAAAGATCATCATTCAAAATTATTACTATAAAAAAAAATGATCTGTCATTATTTGAAATATATATATTTACTCAGCTCATTGATTAGATATTTATAGTATTATAAGTTATCAGCATGCATATATAATCAATCAAATGATTTATTCATAAAGAAATCAATAATATACCATCTGTTGTTATATAATCTTATTCAATTCTATAAATAATTTTTACTAAATAAAATAAAAAAAATATTTTAAACTTATTGATCTTTTTTTTTGCATATGTATTCTAAAATAAATATTAATTTTTTTTGATACTATACAAACGTAATTTGATTTAATAAATAATTTTTAGTATTGAAAATTCGATGAAAAAAAATCAATCGCAATTTGCACCAAGCATTGAATGTCTCGAGTAAATCTATCTACGAATTTCATCCAAGCCCGGTGAAATTGTTGATTGATAAAAAAGTTTAAAGAAAACAAACAATCAATACTTATCAAATATATGAAATAATATGATTAAATATGTATTATTTCCACATTCTTCGATATTATTGAGAGTCTCTCGTATTCTATATTTGGCAACTGGCCAACTTATTCTTCTGGTCAAAAGCTAAAAATTGTTCATTCTTTCTTCTCTTTTTTCATTCTGTAGTTATTTGCGGACACTGATATAGTCCGATTAATTTCTTCTTCTTCTTTTTTTTTCTTCTCGCATTCTCTTTCTTCTGTAGCTTATAGAGTATACTAGAAAAGAATTTATTCCCATTTTATTAGGACAACAGAACGACAAAACTAGTGTTTAGTTTTGATACTCAATAACTTAAAAGAACAAGAAGAAGAAGAAGAAAATGATCTTTTTTTTCTTCTTTTTGTTCTTTTTTTTTTTTGGTCGATTGCATATGTCGGACAATTGTTATATATTACTAGACAATAAAATGACCGATAGGAATACGTAAGACTAATAGTAGGATGTTAATGATGATGAGGAAAGAAGTTATCGTTTTCATATTAGGAATTAAGATTGATTTCTTGCTAATATTTAATTTTATTAATATATATATATATACAAGTTCGATTGAAAGTTATATTTTATATTTCATTAATAATTAAACAGAAACAGGACTGATTATAATACGCAAGTTTTTTAAAAGTATATGTAACAATAACTAGACTATTTTTTTTTTACAAAGGTCAAGGACTACTCATGTATAGTTAGAGAACATTACGTGTTCTGAAAGAAGTAACGCATCATTTGAGCCTAGATCTTTCATCGATGAATATATTGCCTTATTTATTTCATATTTCAAGATAGGAAATATTGAATTTTTGTATTACTAAAATGAAAAATTATTGATAGAAGACAAGACGACTTGCTCTCTATTAGTTTGGATTAAGGATCATTATGTATAAATCCCGATTTGAAATTGATGATGAATCTTCTAGAAAAGATTTCTAACGAGTTCAAATCTCACTTGAATATCACATTTTGTACATAATTTTTTGCACTATAAAACGGTATTCTAATCACAATCTGTACTGAAATACTTTCAAACAGATCAAAATAAACAAACATCTTGTGTAAAACTTGCCGATCATAGGTTATTATGTTTACAAACGAAGATCTTAAGTTTGAAAGGCCTTTTACAGCAAGTCTTTATATACAGTCAAAGACAAAACTTTAAACGAAAATGTATTTTTGATTTTTTTTCTATAATAACATGCATCTAACTGAAATCCAAATAGTCAATGAAGAGCTCTATCAAATGCATTCTATATCAAAATTCCATAGATGATTTAAGGTAGCAAGGTTTCTATAAAACCCAAAACCATATTTTTCAGGTCTCAGAAGACTTTACAATAATTCGTTTCTAACAGTACCAACTTAAAGAACACAAAATTCTGAAGAAAATCAAGGATTGCCGTCTTTCCTTTCAAAAGTTATAAGCATCACAAAAATCGAAAAAATACGATTTTTAGCGGTTTCTTGATAAATTTCACTTTTTTTTCCAGTTTTTGTAATGCTTATAAATTTTGAAAGGAAAGTCGTAGGAAAGGCGGCGACCCTTCATTTTCTTCAGAATTTTGTGTTCTTTAAGTTGATACTGTTAGAAACGAATTATTGCAAAGTCTCCTGAGAAAAATATGGTTTTGGGTTTTCTAGAAACCTATTTTGGATTTCAATTAGATGCTTGTTATTTTTGGAAAAAATCAAAAATACATTTTCATTTAAAGTTTTGTCTTTGACTGTATATATCATTTGAACTGTTTCACATTTTGGATGGATGTTTATTGCCTTGTAAACTATTGTAGACAGTCCTATGCCATGCAAATCGACGGTTCTTCTGCTATTTTTAATTCTCATTGCATGAATATTTACAAATTCTTAGAAAAATTTTAGATTTTAAATCAAAATCATTTCCATCTATCTGTATGATCGCATTCATGAAGCTGATATTAATTACATCGACTAGTTTTGAGTTTGATTATTTAATAAAAACGGCATCATGAAAATAAGACATAACTGATAGACGAACGTGTAGAATTATCTAACAGAATTTATCAAAATCGGTTTTTTTTTTATTTGAGAAGCTGAATATTTTCATTCGTATTTCTATATAATGCTGAATATCGTAACTTTGTTTTTTTACTTAGGTTTTTTTTGTAAATCATAAAGGTAAGAAAAAACTTTTAACACAAAAAAAAAGAAAAAAATCATCGTTCGATCTTTAAGTTCAAAAAGCACCGTTTTATAATACGCAACAAAAAAGAAAAACACCACATGTATATATTTATCACATATATCGACAAAAAAACAAAAAAAAAAAAGAAAAGAAAAGAAAAAACAATCGTTTTCTTTTTCTATCTAATTTCATATCATTTCGGTTGTTGTTTTGATAATGGATGTGAAAACATTAAACCAGGTGCAAGCATTTGATGAGGACTTGTTGATATTGTTTGGGATTGAAAAGTAAATTGATCTTTTGAATCATCATTATTACTCCAAACAGAATCAGGACGTGATCTAAATAATAAACAATAAAAATTAATTTTTAAATCTATTCAATCTTACTCATAATCAAATGATTGTTGTTGAAAAAGATCTTTGGTTTCCGATGCCGATGGTAAACATGGCCAAGCATCTGAATTATCAATAAATGATTCTAAATCAATTAAAAACTAAACATTTATAAGATAGATCATTAATATAACATACGATGCGAAACAGGAGGAGGAGGTGGTGGTGGAAATGAAATCACATCATTAGATGAATTCTTTTGATTTAGAGAACGATTATTCGATGCAGATTCCGAAGCTAAATAATGAATATAGTTTATTTTTAATAGATAATTTTTTTAAAAATACATACCAGCTAGAGCTGGTTCAAGAAATTGTCTTAATGCTATATTTCGAGCACCACGAGGTGTTTTAACATTAGTACCATTTGGATTAGATGATTTTTGTTCATCAGTTGTTGGTTTCTATTTAAAGAACATAATTTTGAATTTTGCTTTTTTTTTGCTTAATATACCTGTATTGTACGTCGATCACCTGGTACACCAAAATTTGATGAAGGAATTTGTTGTGTTAATGGTGATGATGATTCAAAACAAACAATTTCATCTTTAACATAAGTTATTAAATGATCAAAAATTTTTTTCTTTGTTTTTTCATCAATTTTTTGACATAAATTTCGTAGAATAGATACTAAACGTAATTTACGTAATTGTCTTATATCTTTTTCACTTAAATATTCATTTGTTATTTCATCATCAATATATTTTTTAAAATTATATGATTTAAGAATATCATTTAATGGTGTAAAACATTCTAATGTACGTTCTTCAGCTAGAGGATAATCGTTATATTTAAAAAGTAAAGATCCTGTTGATTCATTCTTGCCTTTAAAAAAAAACAAAAACAATAATAAAATAAAATATGATTAATTGAAATGAATTTGAATTCTTAAAAATATTAATAGATTATCAGAAGAGATTTGATTAATCTTCTAATTTAAACTTTTGATTTGAATGATAGTATTTCATTCTGAAATCTACTTTATGCACAGAGTCTGAAATCAAAAGTAATTGATTAGTTGAAAATGTTATCTCGTAAGTATTTCAAGTCCACTGAGATGTAGGTCTTAGTAAGACTAGAACAATGTCAAAAGGGTTTGGCTTTCTATTGTTTCCTTGTTGAGATATGAAGTTCACATCTTCTCTAACAGTGCTATGATTTATATTGATATCGATTTTTCACAACGATATGAAATACAGACTTACAGTGTTTTTTTTTTGCGTGAACTGCATTTTATAATGTCCATATGTGACACACCTTTTTTTTTTAAAACTCTGACAAAGACTCCTAATCATACATAACAAGCTTTCTTGCCTGAAAGAGAGCTTCCAAAATGAAGCCTAGGTTTTTTTAGAGGAGTCGTGTATGAACATGCGGTTAATTTAATAAGCGACAATATTGATTTTATTCTCTCATACTGATTCGTTATGCTTGGTCTATTTAATGACTGATCCTGGCTACGTTTTTTTTTACACTCAAAGATATTTGCTTTAGTCTGGAAAAGTCGGTGTGCGAAGAGAAAAATTGCGACAACTCTGCTTTTATCAAGTGTAGTTGGTGTCGTAAAGAGTTATGTTCATGCAAAAAAAGACTATAAGTTTGTATTTCATATCGTATATCAATATAAATCATAGCACTATTAGAGAAGATGTGAACTTCAAATCTCAATAAGGAAGCGATAGAAAGTCAAACTATTTTGACGTTTTTCTAATCTCACTAAGGCCTATATATAGGCAAAACATTACATGAAAAGCAAAGCTTTATTTGAGGGTGTTCCTTCGTAATTAGACTTTTACTAAGTATTCATAGTTTCAATTTAAGTTTACACAATGAGTATTGATCTAAATAGTTTTCTCATAAGTATTAAGTAATGCATTTACCTTTAATTATATCAAGATTTGATGCATAAACTCCAAATGATCTTAATAATTTAGCTAATGAATTCCACATAATGTGTTTTTGTTTAAAAACATTATGTTCAAATAAATCATTTTTATATTTTTGTATATTAGATAAATAAGCAAATGAAAGATAAATTATTGGTAAAATATGTTGTTCATCAATAATCATCATTGATAATGGTACTTGTATGCCTTCAAGACATTGTTCAATAATAATAATAAATAATTGTAATATAATATCAAATTGTAATTCAGGTTTTTTTATTAATGATGAACGTGGTAATAAATTTAATGTACGATGTATTGTAAACATAATAATTGTTATCATATATATAAAATTTAATTGATTAAAATTTTTTATAATTATTGTTCGAAATAAATTAATAAATGTTTGAATATTATCAAGATTTATTTCTAAATTAATCATAGCTATTATTTGTAAAAATAATGTTAAAAAATCATTTTGTTGTTGTTGTTGGGATTCATAACGTGTTATTGATATATCTTTTAAACGTAAAAATAATTTTTCTAAATTTGATATTGCTAATGGAAATGTAACTTTTATTGCTATACTTCGTATATAATAATATGTTGTAATTAATTGATTTTGTCCTAATGTTAATAATGATAAAGGATTTTTCATTTCATGTAATATAGCTATTTGATTATATGGTTGACCTAAACATGGTATTGTATATATAGCATATTGATAAAATGTTTTAGCTAAATCAATTTGATTTGAATAACGATTTAAATCACCAACATGTACAAGTATATGTTGAATAAAATAAAGCATTGAAGCTTCTTTACATGTATGATTAGAATTAGAATTTTGTTGATGACGTTTTTGTAATGAAGGAAATGTTAATTTACATATAGAATTTTCAAAATTATATGAATGAACAACATCCTAGAAAATTAAAAAAATAAGATTTACTTTTCAAATTCTTTAATAACGAGAGAAGTCTTCTGATGGATCAATGATTTTTGAATCAAAACGACGTGCAAATTATATAGATTCAAATGAGCTATATTTTTATTATGAATTCAGGTGTGTGTGCCAGAGATGTCCACCGCGGTTGAAAACTGACCGCTGCCGCGCCGCGACAATAAAAGAAAAAAGCTAACGCGCCGCTACCGCACCGCGGTGATAAAAACAGAAAACCTACCGCACCGCTGCCGCGACGCCACCAAAAAAAACCATGCCACGACCGCGCCGCACCGCGATGGTTATTTGAAAAACACAACCGCTACCGTGCCGCCACTGCCACAGCGGCAGCGGTCGCGCCACGATGGACATCTCTGGTGTGTGCGCGCAATGCTTTGTGTTGAAACTTGAAAATAATTTTCCCTAGTGTTTCTAAGGTGAACCGGAGTTTTGATTTAAGGGGGGACTCTCGCTTCAGAAAATCCATTTTGCTGTAATGTGATGGAAGTTGAGTTTTGATTATAGGAAGATGCAGTGAAGTTTCCTCTTTCAGAATATATATATATATGGGCTTTCAAAAAAAAGACCAAATTTTCAGAAACCTCTGTAGGGAATTTCCAGCTCACTACCCAGTTTTTGATAACATTATTTTGCTATTTTTATCAGCATGGAATAGACATTTTTATATGATATAGTACGGGTCGTGGTGCGAGCTGACGTTATCTATTGCGTGCTTTCAAAAATTTCCCATAAATATTATTAATATCTCATTAATTCTGGATCTGAATGAAAAAAAAACAATTTCTGAGTTTATTTATTAGTCTTCTCAAAAACATTATTTTTGATCAGAAAAATGGAAACAAACTTCCGCACGATTCAAGATCATATCAATATTTTTGTTTTAAAGGTCTAAGCAAGAGTAAAATTTTCTCCGACCACATTTTTTATATTCGATTTCTGCAATAGGAAAAGTGAGATTTAATGTCATGCAGTGACATTTGTTTTTGGCTTATTTCGATCCCTTGTGTACTGAAACGATCATAAAAAATAACTGGAAACCCTCAGCCTAAACAGATCATCCTACGTAGCATATCGATTTTGAGGCTGGGGAGGGGGAGTGCTTAAAGTTCAAGGTCTGAACTCTTTTAAGAGTATTCATAGTTCACTAGGATTTTCATGATACACATAATCTTCACTGTAAAACGATTAATTAGTTGACAGACTTCCCTCATAAGTTATCATATTGATATTACAAAACTCGATAGTTTACTCCAAATTTTCCAATACATTATTTATAAAACAAAGTACGAATGCTTTTGATTACTAAACAATCAATTCATCTTACACACCGCTCAAGTAAAGTCTTCAAGTGAGTAGATAGAGTAGTTCTATCTGTTGAAACTTTATGTGTAACAGATTTTTTTTTCCTGTAGAACGGCTTCAGTTTTTCAAGAAAAATGATAATTTTGAATTTCGATCTCAGACTTTCATGTTTTCCAAGTAATCATAGCAAAGCATCTCTATTTTAAAAAAAAAGAAGTTCTAAAAATTTTTCCTTCAAGCTGATGAAATTTCACAAAAGTATAATTTTGCTTAAAAACTGAAATCCTACAGAAAAAAAAAGAATCTATGAAAAGCTCGCTATCCAATGATTTATCTAGTGAATGGGCGGCGCTCACTTAAGAAATGAAACCCACTGTCATTATCTTAACAATAATAATTCAATAATTTATCCATTAAATATAATTCTCTATTTAAAAAGCAATTTATAACTGAGAAACTTTCTCTCGTAAGATCAATATTAAATATGTGTGAAAAAGAACTTACTTGTAATAATTTCATATAATAACCTCGAGCATATTCATAGAAATTTTGTAAACTTGTTTGAATTTCAGTACGTTTAATTTGTTGTTGATTATTGTCTTTTAATTGTTCTTGTTTATAATTAATTTCATTTTTAAATATAATTGTCCATAAATCATGTTCAATTTTTTTTTCAATAGCATAATCAAGATCATATAATATTAATTGTTCATATTGATCAAGTAATTCTTGTCGATATATCCATATTTCTGATTTATTATTATTATTTAATAAAAGAATTTTTTGTTTTAATTTTTCACATTCATTAAATATTTCTTGGGATATTGATATAAGATTTTCTGTATTATCATTTATTGGAATTATTGGTTTTGTTCGACGATGATTACTAAATATCAAAGATAAGAAATAAAAGATTAACAAAAAAAAACTAATTTACGGATGAAATCGTCTTCGATTCATTGAATTTGCCATTAGTTAAGGCAAACAATTATAATTATATCATGACTTTTACTGTTGTTATTATTGAAATTCCATGGTTTAATACTAAAATAGAAAATTACAATAATAACTTTTAATCGTATTTATCCTTTCATTTCTGATTTCTTGAATATAGATGATAAGTATGTTTCAAGATAATTACTTAATAGTTTGTAATATCTTTTCAAAGAATTACAAATGTAAAAAGAAGTTTTTTTTGCGAGTGTAACTGTAAAGCAAATCTCGACAACCGAAGGATAATTACATATTTGTGGGAAAGAAATTTTTGTAGAAATATTTTCGTCTATATACACAATCTAAGAGAAATTATATGAATACAATTGGAGAACATTATAACTAAGATTAAGAGTCTCATATACTTATTTGAGTATTTCTTTCAACCGTTATTCCTGAGTAAGAATATAGAATGAAATTAGAAAACGTACTTATCTTTTGTAAAAATGATTCTGCATCTACTTAATCAAATACTCTCTGGTAATGTATAATAGTAGGAAAAAACAAACTCTTCATTTTTTCTTCTATAAATTGAACAAACTCAATTTGTATGTGTCATAAATTTAAACCAATCAAAAAAACAAAAACATCTTAAATTTAAAATTATTTTTAAAAAATTTTTAATTATAATTTAAATGAAAATTTTTTTGAGTGTGATTTCTTTTTAAAATAGATGTCATTGTATATCTTGTATTTCGCTATTCCTCTACAACGATGTCCATTAATAGTAAAGAGAAAGAAAGAATAAAATATTATTTCCTTACTTAATATTATTTCTAAGATAAAAAAAAACAAAAAACGAAAATCATCAAATGGATTCTACTAAAGCTGAAGCTGAAAATATTGAACCATCAGCTGGAAAAGAATTACTCGATAAATATTGGACACAAATTAAACATGAAATTGATGATATTAATATTGTAAATAGAGAAGAAGAAAAAAAAACAAAGTTTTTTCTAAAATTATTTTTGTTTTTTTAGGTTGAATTTCGTACGAGTGATTTACCTTTAGCTCGTATTAAAAAAATAATGAAATTAGATGATGATGTTAAAATGATTAGTGCTGAAGTACCAATATTATTTGCTAAAGCAGCAGAATTATTTATTCAAGAATTAACAATACATTCATGGTTACAAACAGAAGAAAGTCGACGACGTACATTACAGGTTTTTATTATTTTTCTCTTTATTTATTATTAAAAAAAAAGGTTTTTCTTTTTTTTTACTTTCTAGCGTAATGATGTAGCTGCTGCTATTGCTAAAAATGAACTTTTTGATTTTCTTATTGATATTGTACCACGTGAAGAAGCAACAAAAACACATAAGAAAAAAGAAACTGTTAGTGAAGTGCAATATATTGTTACATTACCAACATCAAATGCTATGGGAAATACCATACAATTACCAAGTATGTTGTTTGAGCTCACGAGGGAACATTCCCAAGTGTCACATCGCTTTTGAATCGATCGTATGGGAATTATGTAGATCCTAATGATCTATGAATCTTCCCAAAAAAGTTCGTGCCGCTAGCTTCTTACTACTGAGATATAGAATATATGTTTCGGAAAAAGTCGTGGTCCCCCTCAGGAACATCAGGAAAAGTAAGTTTTGAGTTTTAGCCTGAAACTTTACATGTATATAGGCCTCAATGAGAGCAGTTTATTGTAAATGTTTGGTTGCTCCTAGTCTGAGATAAGAACATCGGATCCGCTGGGATATATGAGCAACTATATCTATGCAAAGTTTGAAATTAAAATTCAAAATTCAGTTTTCCAAGTGTTCCTGAGGGAGACTACAGCTCTCTTTTCTTAAACATACAGTAAAAAAAGGCAGTATCTCAGCAATAATAAACTAACGGCACGAACTTTTTTCAGAGAATTCATAGATCGTTAGGATCTACATAATGCGCATATGTTTGACTTAAAAGCGATGTGACAGTTGAGAATGCTCCGTCGTCAGATTAATTACAAATATCGATTGAATATTAGATATTTACTGAAAAAATTAAATAAAGAACTTTTAAGTCTTTGAAAACATTCTAATAGATTCAAAACAGTTAGGAAGTAGTTCTCTTGTAAATATAGTGTTTAGAATTTTACTGTTTTTTTTTTAAGATGGTCAAATTATTCAATTGCCTCAAAATTTATCATCAAATATTGTCACTATGGCTGTAAGTTAAAATTCTATAATTATATCTATCAAATATTTCGTTTTCTTTTCTTTTTTTTTGAAGACTCCACAAACAATTCAACAACATTATACCATTGGACAATAAAGAAAATTGAAAAATAACTTTTGTATACTGTCAGATTTTTGTCTCTTTTATGTATCCGTATTAAATTCAAGATGAAATGTTTTGTGTAATCCTATTTATTGTAAATATATCATCATCATCATCATCATTAAAACTATGTGTTTGCTTTAAAAAAAAAAAGATGTATATCTATTTAATCTAGATATAAATAAAAATATTTGAAAATAATCTCAAAAATATTTTAGTTGATTAGTTTTCATTTAACTGTAAAATTTAGTGTAATGAATAATCATCATTTGGACGATTGAATCTATGTTAATTATTATACCACGCGGATGACATAAACAAAAATTATTTATTGTAATGATGTGCACTTCCGTAAAAGATTGTTTTTAATTTTTGATTTCATTTATCTTGTTTGTTGACTATTTTTGTTGAAAAATTATTATACTAAATGATCTAACGGCTGATGAGACAAATTGAAAAAAACAAAATTTTTGAATGAATAGAAATTATCTAGAATAGTGATAAGTGTTTACTAAAACATTTTTAACGGCAATAAGTTCAGTAAAATAATTTCAATGCCTAATATTTTCACTGAATACTTAATTTGAGGAATTTATTTGACTATAATTAACATTTCAGAGAGATAGAGTACTAAAATTCCAATAGAAAATAAAAAGCTTTTTTTTTGTTTAAAACTTGTTTGAATACAATGTAAAAGATGAGAAGAAAACATGAAGTTTCAGTTCCATTCGATAAGAAATTTGCAAAGACAAAAGCAAAAAAGAAATCGAACAACGATGTTCATTGTTCAATTCGAACTTGTCTTATGTTATTTCTTAAACAAATACTATTCAAATGTCACAGTAACTCAACTAAAAATATTACTAAATCATTCAATCAATTAATATTTTCTTCTGTTTTTTTGTTCATATCATGAATTATTATTATATCAGAATAGACAAAATAATTTATTGTAACAATCAAAAAAATTCTTGCTTCTCATTTCTTTGCTATTAGTTTGTTCGAATGGTTCTATAATCACTACAGAGTTACTCTCCTTGTTCAAATATAAACTATGCTGTAAAGATCTTTCATTGACAATACATGTTTATCATTTGGCCATGTATTGGTTATCGAACTGATGATAATGATTTCGTCGTTTTTTCAGTTAGACACAGTTTCTCTGTACTGCTGCTGACCATTGTGAAATATTCAATAAATGTTCATGAAATAACAGTGCATTAGAATAATCACCCATATTGTTGTAATAAGTAGTCAAACTCGAATGGTTTGAAGAGAGAATTTTGTGATAGATTTCTAGTACTTTTTGATGAGGATGTTCGTGTGGATCTATTGTTTCCATTCAAGAATTCTGTAAATCTGTACTTGACAGAGTCAAATATTCTTTTAAGGAATTGTTTTATTTTAGAAATCATACTGACACATGAGTCCTCGAAACAACTTTTGTTTTGTTTCAAATGCTAAAATCTTCTTGGATTTTTCGTATTTTCAGAACTTTTTTGCTGTTTTTTCTAGTGAGAAAAATCCTTTAGCAAAAGATTTTTTGGATAAAGTAATAAATCGTTTGTTAAAGAGTTTTTGTATTCAAAAACGGCAAAAAAAGGTTTTTTAAATACAAAGAACCCTAAACGGTTTTGGCACTTGAAACAAAACAAGAATTTTTTCAAGGGTTCTTGAGTCAAAATCATTTATTGAACGATTTATGAGGTAAAACAACCTTTAAAATGGTATTTGGTGCTGTTAAAAATAGATTTGCAAGATTTCTGGACCACAGAGAATTTCTTACAGCGTAGTTTAAATCTTGTTCGGACAATGTTAATCCTACAGAAATTTCAATCATGTATTTCACTTATCGTGGAAATAGATTTTATTTAAAAAATATTAAGCTTATTTAAAACAGAAATTTAAATATATGAAGTTAATATTTCGTTTGAAATCTCTTTAGTGACTGGTTAAGTACATCGTTGTTTTGATTGTATCATTTGTTGACAGTGCTCGTGCATTACATCCTTTAACTTGTGGGCATTGAGCCAGAGCACAATTCGTGACACATCTAGCATTTGTGCCATAGAACCCACAATCAGGTTGACAGCTACCTTCAGGAGTAGAAATGACATCAATATCATTACTAGAAAATCCACCACCTATGATTTGGTTTGTTTTCTCTTGAAAACTGAAAGTCAAGTGAGACGCCGCTGTGTTTGCCAATTTTGTCAACTCAGTGCAGCCTTCAATCGTGGCCTTTTTTCTTTGTGTGCATGACTGTGTGATCTGAGAAACTTAGTGAGGTTGAACATAATATTTTACTTAATTTTTTTTTATACAAACATGGTCGAAATTAGGAATGCCCATTCATTGATTACTGTTTCTGGTAATTAGTAACTACTTTTAGTTACCAATGACGAGTAACTAAGAAATAATTGGTTGTTTATTAGACATGGAACACTAAATGAAATATAGAACGGACTACACCTAACTAGTTTTAGTTATTATTGACGATTCTAAGTAGAATAAGCATTCATTTACCATTAATTTATCAGGTGCTATCTGCTTCAGAAAAAGAATATTTTGACACTAGCAACTCTATTCTATCTCTTTAAAGAACATACAAACCTTTTCAGCAGGAAAAGCTTGATTGAAATTTGAATATCCAACTTTCGGATAAACAGTAAAAAGTGTATGTTTGTTACTTTTATATA